CATCACAGCTGCCCGTGATTCAGTCCCCTAAGGCCTGCTCCTGATTTGCTGAGGCCTGGTCTTTGCCTGCACAGCCCATGCTGAACTGCGCTCCTCTCCTAGCTCAGCGCAATAGACTTTTCCCATCAACCATCCAGGTTGCCTTGGGCTGGAAATTTGTTTCACTCTGTCTTTTTGTGGGTTCTGCTGCTATAGAATTTGTTTAGAGCCATTTTTCACAGGTATTTGGAGGGGTTTGGGGGAGAGCTCAAGCAAGTCACTACTTTTACTCCACCATCTTAGCTCTGCCCCTGCCTTGGTTTTTTAAAGATTTTAATAATTGTATTTCATTTAATAATTGATTTCATTTAATAACTGATTGATTTCCTTTATAAATGTATTTTATTCTATGCATTTAAAAACAGTATTATGAGACAGGGTCTACAGGTTTCACTAGACCGTGCAAAAGGTCCATGATACAAAGAGAGTTATGAACTCACTTCTAATGCGTTCTCCCTCAGAGCCCCCCAAAATTCAAATTCTCTATTCTCTGAATTTCATCGTGTAATCTGGTCCTAAAGATATTGTAGACAAGGCAAATAGTTTAATTAACAAATCATCAGAAGCAGTCCCATGGGAAGACAGCAGATGAGAAAGTCTTCTTGGAGCACATGATGCCTGAGGAAAGAGCCAGAGCAAGTTGTCTTGTGTGTGCATCAAATGGAAGCTTTAGTTGAAGAGACAGATGTTAAAAACTGAAGAAAAGTCATTCTAGAAAGATACCAAACAGCAGGAAGGATTTGGACTAGGCAAGAATCTATTTTATGCTAATTAGAGATATTTAACTTGAAAAGAAATTATAATAAGGCCTTAAAGTTGCATAAGGGCATTCAGAGGCTCTATCATTTTAGAGGAACTGTTTCTCATTTTCGTATTCATTTCCTGTGTTTTTTTTGTTCTCCTACAAAGTCTTCCTTGGCTCCTAAGAGCTTCATGTTCTCCTCCTCCCTAAATGAACACGTATTCATTTGTGTGTATGTTGTATTAGAATGTAACCTCCTTGGGGGCAGGGACCATTCAGGTTTTTGGGGTTTTTTTGGTTTTGGTTTTTTTTTTGGTATGCCCAGCAACTAGCTCAGAGAATAGAGCACAGAGTAAGTAGTTAATAAATGTACAACCCAAGCGCACTGGGCCTGGAATCAGGAAAGGCCTGAGTTCAAATTTTACCTGTGACAGTCATTAGCTGTGTGGCTATAGGCAAACAGCTGTAAAATGAAGATACTGATACTTGCCATCCTTACCTCACAAAGTTGTTGATAAGCTTATGAAAGAATGTACATGAAGTACAAGAGAGATAAGTGAGCTCATGCCTTATATATTTTCCTTCTTTTCCTTCCATGAGATTTCTTCTATTTAATACTGGGATGCTCAGTAACATGCAGCTCCTGGGCATATTGACCACTACCCGTTTCCTTGATGGAGTGAATTCTTACAATTCTAATTGAAAAAGAACAATGTATTGTTCTTTTTTCTTTATCAGGTGTTTCAGTTTTTTATTAGTCGAGTTCGCCAGAAGCTGCATATTGTGCTGTGTATGAGCCCCGTTGGGGAGGCTTTCCGCTCACGATGTCGGATGTTTCCATCCCTTGTGAACTGTTGCACAATCGACTGGTTTGTTCAGGTTAGTAAAACTCCCCATGGAATATTGTGGAGAATTTGGCTTGTTTTAAAAGAAATCCCCAAATGTACTGCATAAGGCTTGACTCTCTTTCCTTTAGTTGGTGAGAATGTGCTGTTAATGAGGCCAGATTTTCAGGTTTCACTTCCTCTCTACCTGGTAATGGCCAGATTAGCACAGACCTGTCCTAGAAAAGAAGCCAAAGGAAGACTTCTCACAGTGAGAGGCAGGATCTAAACCTTGCAAATCATCCTCAAATAAAGTAAAAGAATAGCAAAAGGAAGTAAAGCTCTCCACAGGAAAACCAGCAAAAAATAAATAAATAAACAAAGAGAAGAGCAATCAAAAAAGGGTTCCTATTTCAATGACAAAGCACAATTGGAGAAAAGGTGAGACAACTCCTTGGCGGGGGGAGGAAAAATAATACAAGACACATGAGACTCCAGAAAACAAGAAACTCTTCAGGGTGCCTGAAAATCTTAATGAAAGAAAGAAAAAAGAAACAAACTTAGAATTCTTAAAGAAAAACTTGGAAAGGCAGTGACTAGTTGAATGGAGAAGCTAGAAAATGTTGATAAAGCCAGGGGCCCCCTGAAAAGACAATCTCCAAATCTTAGAGATACAACAAGACATAGAGCAAAGTCAAAAGATGGCAAAGGTATAAAAATAGTCACCATTTTTTAGAAACTAAAGCATCTCTGGGGTGGCTTCAGGGCACAAAGTAGAACTTTGGTGAAATGTAGCCATTCTGGTACCATTTTATTTCTGTCCTTATTCCCCAGAGACTACAGAACTGAATCATTTTCTTACTAAAGTATTACTAGTGTCCCATTAAAGTGAACAATCAGTTTTCTTTATTTTTTTAAATAGATTTTTGAAACCCTCCTTTCTTCTTTATAGTGGCCCAGAGAAGCCCTTCTTTCTGTATCAAGGACATTTTTCCTACATGTTGACCTTGGAAGCCAAGAAGTAAAGGAAAAGCTTTCATTGATGTGTGTCGATATTCACATGAGTGTGACAAATATGGCTGATCGATACTACTCAGAACTGAGACGGCGATATTATACCACACCTACTTCCTATTTGGAATTAATTAACCTTTACCTCACAATGTTGGGTGAAAAAAGGAACCAGTTGGTTTCAGTAAGTTCAAGTGTATTAAGTGAGAGCTTTTCGTCATTGATTAAAATAATCTTGCTAGGGCTTAATCCTGTCGTCAAGTTGACAACCACTTATTAAGTGCTTACCATGTGCCAGACTCTGCTAAGGACTGGAAATACAAAGACAAGCAGAAAGGAAGACAGCTCTTGTCCTCAAGGAGCTTACATTCTAATTGGGGAAGACTCTGTAAAAGGAAAAAAAAGGGAGGGTGGAAAAGGTACTCACCTGGTGTTGAAGTCCAGAGAGTGAGAAATAAAGCCAAGAGAGGTATAAAAGATGACTGGTCTTTGGCTCTTCAAGATGGCAGCTTAGTGCATTAGTAGAATGCTTCCTGGAGTCAGAAAGACCTAAGTTCAAATTCGACCTCAGACACTTACTTAGCTGTGTTACCATGGGCAAATCACTTAACTATTGTCTGCCTCAGTTTCAACTGTAAAATGCAGATAATAGCACCTAACTCCCAGGTTTCGGTGAGGATAAAATGAGATGATATTTGTAAATTTCTTTGCAAACCTTAAAGTGCTATATAAATGCTAGTTGTTAGTATTATTACTATTCGTGACGGAGATTTGGGAGACACTCATCAATGGAACTGGAGAGATGTTCCAGGGTGAGATGACTTCAGGGACGGAGGAATCTTCCAGGGTGAAAAGGCAGCTAAGCTACAATGTCAAGGATCAGAATCAAAAATGGAGCTGGGAGGGGAATGAAGGACTCAAATGACTCAAGTATCTTTGCTAAGTCCTTAATTCTGAGGGCACACAAGATACCCAGACTTAGAGAATCCACCCCAAAGGTTCCCAAGGACTATTTGTGCCCAACCTGTGGTGGTGCATTCCAAACTGATCAACCACAGTCATACACTCTCATTGACTCTGGCATAGTGATGTCATTTTGGTCCTCTTCTTGGTCTAAACCTAGTTTCTGCCAGACTACTTTCCATTTTTCCCAGTAATTTTTGTCAAAGAGTGATTTCTCGTCCCCAAAGTTTAGATATTTGCATTTATCAAACACTAGATTACTTGTTCATTTATTACTATGTATTATGTAAGTAATTTATTCCACTGATCCACCACTCTATTTCTTAGCCTGAAAATCTTAATGAAAGAAAGAAAAGTGAGAATGTGCTGTTAATGAGGCCAGATTTTTCAGGTTTCACTTCCTGATTATTTTGACGATTACCACTTTGTAATTCATTTTGAGATCTGGTACTGCTAGACTACCTTCTTTCACATTTTTTTCATTGATTCCCTTGTTATTCTTGACCTTTTGTTCTTCCAGATGAATTTTAAATGCTTTTTTTATCTCTATAAAATAATTTTTGGTGGCTTGATTGGTATGGCACTAAGTAAATTTATTTAGGTAAAATTGTCATTTGTATTATATTGACTTGGCCTACCCATGAGCAATTAATATTTCTCTAATTGTTTAGATCTGACTTTATTTGTGTAAAAAGTATTTTGTAATTGCATTCATACAGTGTCTCAGTTTATCTTGGCAGATAAACTACCAAATATTTTATATTGTCTACAGTTATTTTAGATGGATTTCTCCTTCCATCTCTTCCTGTTGGACTTTGTTAGCTGTTGTTGCTGTCCTTCACTTTTGGAGAGGACCAAAATGACATCACTATGTTAGAGTCAAGTTTAATGTGTCCAATTGTGGCTGATCAGACCAATACGAGCTCGGAATGTTCTACCACAAGTTGGGCACAAATAATCCATGTGAACCTTTGCTGTGGATTCTCTAAGTACCAGATCTCAAAATGTATTACAAAGTGCAAATATACCAAGATAAGGTCAGAATGGGTACATGATTTGGACATAAAGGGGAGCATAGAATATTTTACCTATCAGATCTATGGAAAGGGAAGAATTTATGACCAAGCAAGAGAAAGAGAGCATTATGGGGTGTAAAATGGATAATTTTTATTACATTAAATTAAAAAGGTTTTACACAAACAAAACCAATATAGCCAAGATTAGAAGGAAAGCAGAAAACAGGAAAATTTTTAATAGCAAATTTCTCTGATAAAGGCCTCATTTCTTGAATATGTAAAAAACTGAGTCAAATCTACAAGAAATGGGTAAGTCATTCCCCAATTGATAAATGATCAAAGGATATGAACAGGTGGTTTTCAGACAAAGAAATCAAAACCATCTATAGTCATATAAAAATGCTCCAAATCACTATTGATTAGAGAAATACAAATTAAAACAATTCTGAGGTATTACCTCACACCTATCAAATGCGCTAATATGATAGAAAAGGAAAATGACAAATATTGGAGGAGATGTGAGAAAATTGAGAAACTAATGCACTATTAGTAGAGTTGTGAACTGATCTAACTATTCTAGAAAGCAATTTGGAAGCTATCAACTGTGTATACCCTTTGACCCAGTAATACCACTACTAGGTCTGTATCTCAAAGAAATTTTTAAAAAAAAAAAAAAGGAAAAAGACTTATCTATACAAAAATATTTATAACAGCTCTTTTTGTGGAGGCAAAGAATTAGAAATTGAGGGTATGCCCATCAATTGGGGGATAACTGAGCAAGTTGTGTTATGTGATTGTGATGGAATAATATTATGCTATGAGAAATGATGAGCAGAATGCTTTCAGAAAAACCTGGCAAGTCTTATATGAACTGATGCAAAGAGAAGTGAGCAGAACTAAGAAGTCATGGTACACAGTAACAGCAATATTGTATGAAGATCAACTCTCAACAATATAATGATTTAAGGCAATTTTAAAGGACTTATGATGAAAAATGCTATCCACCTCCAGAGAAGGAGACTGATGGAGTCTGAATGCTGATTTAAACATACTATTTAAAATTTTTCTTTATTTTTCTTGTTTTGTTTTGGTTTTTGGCCTAAGTTTTCTTTCACAACATGGCTAATATGGAAATATTCTTTTGCATCATTACATATGTATAATCTTCATCAAATGGCTTTTTGTCCCAGGAAGCATGCAAAGGAGGGAGGGAGAGAATTTGGAAATTAAAAAAATTGTTAAAAATTGTTTTCACATGTAATTGGAAAGAATAAAACTTAATACAAAAAAGAAAAGAATATAATAGAATGCTGTAAATTATCTCTAGTTCATCTGATAATTGCCCAATTTTTCATTTAGAATTGGTGCCAATGTATTTTGTTTGGGGCTGTTGTTGGCCAAGAATTTTAAAATATTTTTATATCCCAGATAATTAATGGAAAAAGTCTCTGATGGACACATTTACCAAAATGATGCATTGAATTAATCAGTACTCACAACACATTTCCATTCTTATCTAGGCTCGAGATCGAGTGAAAAATGGTTTAACAAAGCTATTAGAGACAAACGTGCTTGTCGACAAAATGAAATTAGAGCTTTCTGCTTTAGAGCCAGTTCTTAAAGAAAAATCAGTGCAAGTCGAAGCTTTGGTGGAAAAATTGACAGTGGACCAGGAACAAGCAGATCAGGTATCCAGAAATAATTTATAATATTTGTCCGAAGTAATTAATTCATATCTAATTAAATGTGGCTCAGGACATTTTATACATCATTAAAAGTGAATCAAATTACATTTAGTAAGATCATTTGAGTATTTTTCGCAGTTGTAAATAAAATATATACTTTAAAATGAATCGGCACCATTCTATCATTAAGTGTAGGAGAAATGAGCTAGAATAAAGTGTCATAGGGACTCTGCATTTTGATTGGGAGATTATGAGTTGGATATTGCATATATATTTAACTCCATGGTTCCTTTGCAGAAGAATTGATTTTCATAGCTATTACATTAGATTATCAATGTACTGGGTCATAAGGAGGATGAAGGGGTCACTTAGCTTAGTTGATCAGACTGTGGTTTGTAATTTTCTTTGAAATGCCTTAAATGGTGATACTAATTTTTTTGGATGAATTTCAATTGCCAGGTCCGTTGCGTCGTTCAAGAAGATGAAGCAATAGCAAAGGTGAAAGCTGAAGAGACCCAAGCAATAGCTGATGATGCTCAACGGGACCTTGAGGAAGCCCTCCCAGCCCTAGATGCAGCCAACAGAGCACTTGACTCTCTAGATAAAGCAGATATATCTGAAATCAGAGTTTTCACCAAGCCACCAGATATGGTCATGACTGTCATGGAAGCCATTTCCATTCTCTTAAATGCCAAGTGAGTAGTTCAGATATCGATCAGGATGACTAGAAATGGCCCAGGATGCAGTGGGAGGTCTTGGCCTTTTTAAGCTAGGTCTTTCTGAGTTCTACTTTGACTGAGGAAACACCCATTCAGTTATTAGGGCTGTTTTCAAAACAAAAATATCGTGTGCTTAAGTGTACGGAGAACTAGCCTCAAAGCCAGGAAGTCTGGGTTTGAGTTCTCACCCTGATAGCTACTAGCTTTGTGATCCTGGACAAGTGACTGCATCTGAGTCTTCTAGTCCAAAGTGTCCAACAGCCCTCACACTACATTGCCACCCATGAGATTCCTGAGCAACCAGATTATTGAGAAATATTTAACAAAGTAGATCAAAATATAATGGAACATAAGTATTGTTAAGATGTGGTTTTTTAAGTCAAGATATGACCCATAGGGATCTTTACATATGGTCTAGGCACCCCTATTTCCATTTTGAGTTTGACACCACTATTCTAGTCAACCCTCTTAAGACAAGGTTTGCAGAGAACTTCGCATCTCTCTTGGTAGAGGAAGTTTATTTACTTGGAGTTCCCTAAACCTACGAAGCACAAGGCCTGGCATACAGTAAGTGTTTAATAAATGTTTGTTGCCTTATTGGCAGAAACCACATGTCTAGTCCCTATCCTTACTGCTCCAATTTAAGTTCTTTACATGTCTTTATTAAGCCTTATTTGTCTTTGTTAATGTAATTTATGTTTTTATTAATGCAATTTTTAATGTGTTTTACAGACCTGACTGGGCCACGGCAAAACAACTTCTTGGGGATTCTAATTTCCTCAGAAGACTTTTAGAATATGACAAGGAAAATATAAAACCAATTGTATTGGCAAAACTCCAAAAATATATTAATAATCCTGATTTCGTTCCTGAAAAAGTTGAGAAGGTGTCCAAAGCATGTAAATCTATGTGTATGTGGGTGAGAGCTATGGATTTGTATTCCCGAGTCCTCAAGGAAGTTGAACCCAAAAGACAAAAACTCCAAGCTGCTCAGGTACATTAACTATCTCCCTTTACACTGTGTTTATTAATAAGAAAGCAACGATCCCTCATCCTTTTAATGCTACAGCTCTCTGCTCAATGCTTCCCGGTCAATGCAGTGTGATGAGACTCTAAGGAAGGATACCTCAGCTCCATTCCTTAGACAATAGAGAGTTGGTTTGCCTTGAGCTAAAGAGCTTAGTCTGTGTAAAGTTTTATTTCCCCAGGCATGGTAATGCATGCCCCAAATTCCTGCTACTAGGGAGGATGTAGCTGGTGAATCTCTTGAGTTTAGGAGTTCTAAGTAGCAATAGAAGAAGCCAATTGGGTGTCTGCACTGAGTTCAGCTCCAGTGTGGGGAACCAAGAACAGGGGCTGCATCATGCTGCCCAAGAGGACCAAGCCAGCCAAGGTCTACAATTCAGCCCATGACTCTCTCTTGCACTTTAGCCTGGGCAAGAGAGGGAGACCCAATCTTTTTGTTTTTAAATGCTTTATTTAGACAGTAAACTTATGAAATAGTACTTACTAACTGTCACTAATCACAGTCCCTCTAAACCAAGGGTCCTTAACTTATTCTGTGCCATAGGCCCCTTTGGCAATCAGATGGACCCCTTATATAGAAATAATGTTTCTAAATATGTAAAATAATACACAAAGGATTACAACAGAAAATAACTGAAATCTAGTTACCAAACTACTTTGAGGGCAGCTAAGTGGCGCAGTAGATAGAGTGCCAGGCCTGGAGTCAGGAAAACTCATCTTCCTGAGTTCAAATCCAGCCTCAG